ACACAGAGGGGCGTTGCCCCTAACACAGATATGCCACCTCCACACTTTAAATTTCGGACTGTACTTTGGGTGCTGATGCAAAGGTTTTTCAGTTTGTTTGGTCCAGAATTTTAGTGTATTAGGAAACAGTAACACAGAACTTTCATCTGAGAAGCTCACATTGTCCCAGTTAAAATTTCTATGCTGTAAGCACCAGTTCAATCTTCGCTCCTTTTGTTCAGGTTTCAGGATCGGTGATGGAATTCCTCGACTTTTCTGCCAACCCACTGCATGCAGCTCAGTTCTAATTGTCTCCTTACAGACAGCCACAGTTCCTCTATCAATCATATCCAGCCTTAAGTTTTCTAAACTCCTTCGTTTGTTTTTAGAAACAAGAATACCAAGCCGCCTCCTGTCACCAACAGTCAATTTTCTGGGCCTACCTGCGCCTCCCTGGTGCTCAATGCCATATTCATTTGCAATATTTTTCAAAACACAATAAACAGTGGACAAAGGGATGTCTGTTCTACTTGAAATCACTTTAGCTGATCTGATGTCCTTGTTATAATACTCTAAAATCAACTTCCTCTTCTCTAAATCATCCATACTGAAGATCACTGAAAATGTCGTCTGCTAGCAAGTAAACAAAGGGGGATAACTCTTCACAAACTAATGAAAAAGGATTAACAGAGTTGTCTCTCTTGAATGAAACCAAGCACTTGATAGCTGGTCAAGGTTGTTTATACTAGAAAATCCAATTAAACATATTCCTAAAATTCTCAATAAATTCTGGTCATACTATAGTTATTAAGAAGTCACAAATAGGTGTACATGGGGGGTACCCCATTGTGATATCATTCAGTTCTGCATGTTATTCACTTCTGCATGTAGTGACCATTCTTTTATCACTGTTTCCCATTGACAAGAAAGTCTGTTCACTAGGATGGTCATATGTTGATATGTCCCACTTCCATTTGGAAGTTGATGGAGTCTGCCATGGCAAACAAATGTGTCGTCTCCATCATCAAAGAACTGGATTTGGTTCCATGTTGCTTCTGTATGTGCCACCACAGTGGTATTGTCTACATTAAGACCGAAGAGTGTTCTGGAAGATTCCTCCAATTGTTATTGTTATTCATCTCCAAGCAGTTGATGTGAAGGTTCTTCTCTGGCCTATTTCCATAGAGCCTGAACCTTGAAACTGTCCATATGGGCAGTATCTGTAAATGGGGGATGTTCACGAGTATGTCTTTCATCATGTGATCTCTGTGGTTCCACAACAAAAAATTCAACCATACGTTCTAAATCTATGTCAAAATGAATACCTAAAAGTGTAAATTCAGTATGAGACCAGTCGAAATTCCAGTCTTTGCATAATTTTAGTCTTGATCCCTTTTTTTATCCTATCCAAATTAGCTTTGTTTTTTCAATATTAATTTTTAGCCCAGAGAATCTTGCAAAGAACTGTAATGTATTTAAAGCAGCATAAAGACATCTTTCAGAACCATCCAGTGTCATCAGCAAATTGTGACATAATGTATTCAATATTATCAATTTTTATTCCTCTTATATACTTATTATTTTTTATCATTAATGCCAAAATTTCTACACAAACCAAAAATATATAAGGCGATAGAGGATCCCCTTGACGACAGCCCCGGGTTATTTTAAAGAGGGGTGATGCAAAGCCATTAACCAATACACTGGATTCAATATCATGATTGAAAAGATTTACCCATTGAATCAAATCTGGTCCAAAGTGATAGAAATTGAGAACATTAAGAATATATTTCAAGTCAACCGAGACAAAAGCTTTCTCAAAGTCAATCAATAGGAGTAGTCCGGGCATTTGATATGTTTCAGTATGTTCCATCAAGTCATAAATTAGTCTAGTTACTTCTCCTATGTATCTTCCAATGATAAAGCCCTTTTGGTCTTCACTGATGATACTTGGCAGAATAGGCTTAATTCTATTGGCAATGGCTGCAGCAGAAATTTTAAATGAGATATTTAGAAACGAAATGGGTCGCCAGTTCTTTGAAAACCTTTTGGGCTTATTTCCTTTAGGAATACATGTTATAAGTCCCTGTTTCTGGGAGACAGATAAATGTCGAGTTCGAAAAGCAAAATTCAGAGATTTAATCAAGAATTCGCCGAGATCATTCCAATATTTTTTTAAATTCGGCTGTAAAACCTTTAGGACCTGGGATTTTATCATTTTTCATATTTTTTAAGTCTGTCAAGACTTCACATCTTGTTAATTCGCCTTCCATACACGTTGTTTGTTCATCACATAGTTTTGGTATGGTAATATCTTTTAAAAGTTCATCTAGATCTATAGGACTTACATCTTGTTGTGTATATAGTTTTTCATAAAAAGATTTCACCTCTTTTGATAGAGTGTCAAGGTCATTTAGGACTGTTCCATGACTTTTTTCTAATTCTACAAAGGATTTATTTAAAAATTTCTGGCTTCAAGTTTCAAAAAGTATTTTGTTGGTTTTTCGCCCTGTTCTATCCATTTAGCCTTTGATCTAACTACCATCCCTTGTATTTTCTTTTCATTAATGTCATCTAAATTAGTCCTGATTTTGTTAATTTCTTTTAGTATATCACTTTTTGTTATGTCTGTATCTGATTTATCTAGTCTGATTTCCAGGGAGGCTAATTCTGATTCCAACTTGTTTTCTGTATGCAACATAATTTTCTTTTGAGTTGAGGCATAATAAATAGGCATGGCATGGAGAACTTGTTAACTGAAGCAAACTCTTACGAGTTGGAAAGCTCAGTTTTTGATGATCAGGTGCAAGCACTGGCTTCAAGCACACTGCAATTTCACTCGTTTTCACGAGAGTTCCAAGGATCATTTAATAAAGTTTCAGGTGTGTGTGTGCATGCACCCTTGTACGCACGCATGCACACACGCACGCAACGCATGCACACACACACGATCTGCCTATGTTGACAACAGTACAAGAATGTGTATCTATGAAGTTGCTATTCATAAAATCTGTAAATACATGTATTTGTACAGTGCAAAAGGAAGCAAATTGCACATTTGTCACTGATCACTGACAGGTACATTGTCTGAAATACTGCTATTTTTGTTTCCTCTGCTTCAGTTGTTCAGCTGCAAGTAATGATTCCAGGTACTCCAAATACATTCATCACACACAGGAACAAAGGCAGTATATCCTTCAGTGCAAATGTTAAGTGAAATGTTTGAAATAATGTGTTGGTATGCAATTAATGTGACAAGTCTTAGAGCACAACAATTGACAACTCATACTAGTCATAGGTATGCAGGACTGACTTATTTACCCTGGTTAATTTCTTCAAGCAAGGAATTTGATGCAACAGTTCTGTTGTACATGTGTGTCGAATTAACTATAATATAGGTCAACAGCTTAATTGCCAGAGCATGTGAAGTAGCCTACAGTCAGTCATTTTTGATAGCATGACATTTTCTCAGTTTAGGTATAGAAAATAATAGCGTGCCGTACCATGTTTTCGGGTGAACCATGTTTTCAGGGTATGTCTTTTTCCCGTAATTTCTTGCGTACAGTGAAATGAGAGCGCCACCTGTAAACACTGTCTCCAGTGCAGAAGCTTCCGTGGCACTCGGGACACAATATGTTTGAAATATCCAGCTTTCATGTAATTTGTGACCTAAATTTCTGTCAAAGTATTAAAATTCTTCCCTAGAACGTAATGCACTTTCAGAACCTGCATAAATGTGATCATAACTTTTGAAATAAAGCTCGTAACTTGTCAAGCGGACCATCGTCTGCTAGAGTGAAAAGCCAAGCATAAACATCACGTGACTCTAATGGAATGTTGCCAACATAATAAAAAACTATGGAAGACAGAATTGGTCATCTCTTACATATTTGCGTCAGTGGTATTTACAACATGGGGTCAGTGCATGTACCCGGCTTGTGACCACTGGGTTCATTTAAAATACTGCTGCAATGTCACTGTACTGCGCAGACATGACGTGTTTTATTGTCCCTGCCAAATGATTGAATAACTTACCTGTAAATAGGTTTATTTTTAACACTTTTCACAAAAAACACTCAAATAATCAAGAAAAAAATGTCCAGTTTGCTTGACTTTTTATTCAAATGCCACATTGTATGTTTTGACTTCTTGGGGGAAGAATGCATCACCTGGGCCTCCACACAAGGTTGTGACCCCACGCTATAACGAGTAACCCGAAAACATGGTACGTCACTTCTCCCCGCTGGCGGACAAACTCGAAATGTTCGCTGCATTGGATACCAGCGGAGGACAGAACATTCTGACAATAAATTTATGAAAGTTGAGATGATATTTAATTACGGAATTACAGTTTTGATAATCTTCTGATGCGCAATAATTTACATCATAATACATGATCATCTTTTGCGTTATTACCCCGAAAACATGTTACACCATGGTACATAATGAGACAAGAAACAGAAGTGTGCAACCATTCTATTTAAGAAAGTAACAATTCTGCACCACTTCAAGCAGATATATTATTTGTTCGAACTCTCTGCAATATATTTTGCATGAACACCTAAATGTTTCGTCTGCTATGATTCCTGTCAAAAGAGGATACCTGCAGTTTCCTCCAGCGTTACTGCATTGTAATTGAGAATACAAGTATTACTGCTTCATATAATTTCAACAAACTTATTTCATCTGAATATCGATCGCATATTCTTTAACAAGGTGCAGTGAAAATCATGAAATGGAAATGTGTCTATTAAGTTCGGTGTTGTGACCTAAAACCGGACAATACAGTAGAACAGGTGCTCCTTTCAAACACGTTTCTTTCAGTCATCATTCAAGAGGCACATTCGCTTGCTGTAAAAGAAACGTTGTTAACTATTTTACAGTACGTTTGCTTTTTCACTTACCCTAGGCTCATCTTTAAGTCATTGTTTTGCCTCAACTTGTTATTTTGATTCAGTTTACATTCCGTGTAACCGGAAGTCAAATGAATGACGGGTAAAGCGTGATCTCGCATAATCTCGCTCGCTCCAGGAAGCTTTGTCTGCCATTATTGCTTCAGGCGAATTGTATTATATTCCAGTTTATTTACTAAATTAGGCGATTTTGAATTGTTTATTGCGTGAAATTATTGTAGTAAACCACACTGAGATTCACAGAAAGATATGGCAACGGCCGCGTTATCGCCTGGGCCGTCAGGATCTGCAGGTTTGTGTCTGAAATTAAGAGCTGAATGAGTGTAAACACGGAACTGACATTCATGAACAACCTGACAAAAATCAGCATCCTGTCTGACCATATTGGAACATAAGATCATATATACGCTTGAGTCAGATATCATAAGTTAGTTTTGATATGATAAGTTTATCAGCCTTTCGCCGTATTATCGCCACATATGACCGCGTATATCAAGGCAAGCCTCCAGGAAGGTTGAAATGGGCAACATGGTTTAAATTACCATACTATCTCACATCAGTAAACCATGATAAAAGTGGAGACTGCTGAAAACAAGAACATAATCATATATTCGGAATTATTTCAGAAACCTCATACCGTATTTGCTATGTTTAAGATAAAGCTAATGATAATATTATAAAGGACATTTATTATATCCTCTGGCACCTGTTTAGTACTAGTGGTTGCTTGAAGTTAAAAAGTAAAGAAACAGAAAAGTTGGATAGTTTTATGTGTTCATAATTTACACTTCTACTTTTTCAGTATGTTAGGAAAGACAAACAGATTAATTAACAATAAACAGTATTGAACATGTTACAAAAATGTAACTTAACAGTGGTGCTATCCATATACAGTGATTCAGAATATCAGAACTCCAGATAAGATTTAGCTCATGTGGGTACTGTACCTACGGTATTTTTTTGGAGTGGGTATTATGAATGTTGAGTGGGTATTTCATTTTCCGTTACCCACTGCTTTCAAATATGTGTGTATTTCAGTCATTTTACTCACCTAAGTATTATGTCATTGAGTAAGTTTACTTAGCAGGTATGTTCTGCCTTATGTCATACCTATTCAAAACCAACTTAAATATAATGGAAATGATTTCATAAAAAATCACTCATTCTATACTGACAGTACAACACTTGTCCTATAGTAACAGTACAACTTGATAGCAATCGATGTCATTACGCAAGCGATTTTTATACATATATTCCGTACGCATTTGTTTTAAACTTTTTGCGTATTTATCATTTTAAATGCGTAATTGGTACGCAACAATTATTTTTCAATGCGTAATTGGAAATTTTATATGCGTATTTTACCCGGATACGCAGCTTATCTGGACCTCTGAGAATATTGTTCTGTAAATACTGAGAAGTGTCCCATATCAATTTTTGAATGAAAGTCAGATTCAGCGAGTGCTGACCATCATGAAAGTCAAATGGTACTGGTTATAGCCCTAATGTTAAGAGTTAAAGCTTTAATAAGGGTTTGCCAGCTTGCTAAACCACAGAAAAGACCTCAGCACCCCATTACCAGCTTGAATTTCAAACACTGTGTATTACTTAGATTGTCAATTGTGTTAATCACAAAAAATTTGCGTCACGATATTTTTGTGAGTACCGACCCACAGATGTTTTTGCATCATGATATTGTTGCGACTTGCCTAATTCTCAAAAACAGATTGCAACTGAAAGTTCTATTAAAGGTTATCGCTAATCTTGAACTGAGCTCAGTAGAGTACTTCCGTGTGTATGCAGTCAGTGATGTTTTCCTAAAAACAACACACGCTGCACAGGCCAGATCAAAGGGTTTGTATTAATTGGAATGCCTCTATCAAATTGTTGACACTGACCTCACCAAAACTGTTGATCTCTGGATAAGTGTGATGAAACCTATCCACACCTTTTGGATGGTGTTGGCCTATCAAATGGTCTCTAAAGAAACAATATGTGTTGAGTAGTTGACGCCTGTCTGGACCAGACATGGGTTCAATTACTTTGAAATGTAATTAATTAAATTACAATTACTTTGATTTTCCTCAATTACAATTACCTCATGTCTGGTCTGGACTATCAGACGTACTGATTGACTTTTGTTAAGTATCCCTTGTTTGACATGTGATGTGTGAGTACCAGTAACGGTAGTAATTAGTAGAGACAAGACAAGACTAATTAGTGTTCCCCCAAGTTGTCGTCTTTGCTTAATTGATCTGTTGTTGATTATATGAACTGGTGAATAATAAATTGCGTCATGATATTTTTGCGTGCTCAAGTCATTCGCAATTTTCGCAAAAATATCATGCTCGCAAAAGTTTCGTGATTTACAGTACTTTACATACCAATTCAATTCTTTATTCATGTGAAAGTAGGCCATCAGCCCATGATACATCATTATACATTAGCAGCTTTCAAGCTGCAGTGACGATGATGATTGTTAGCATAAAAAATGAACATGGCAAGATTTCTTAAAACCAGAGGGGTACCATTACACATCAGTCGGTTAAAATTACACAAGGTTGGAGACCCGTGAAGGTCCGGGTTAGAATATTGATCTTCAGTAACACATGCTTGTCGTAAGAGGCGATTAACGGGGTCGGATATATGAATTCAGAAATAAAAAGGTTTAGATTAAGAATGAATTGATTTTCCCATAACGTATCCAAAACCCATTGTTTTTCAATTTTGATACCCAGTTAATTTTATCATTTGAATCATGAAACAGTAATAATACTAATATATTATAACATTTCTTAGGAAAATATGTAGAAGGCATATTTAACAGTTTGTACCAGTACATAATACAGCATTTGTACACAGAGATATACAAAGGGTATCTCCCGAAGTTGACACGTACAACGTGGTTGGAAGTACATAGTTTAACACTGAGTAAATATTTACAGGCTAAGGTATGAACTGTTTCAATAGATGAATTAGAATCACAGTCTAGACCCCATAAAACAAAATAGACATTATTTTAGTGTCAAAAATTCTGAAGAAGACATCACATTTCATATGTTCAAATTTTGTTAAACTTTTCAAAATACCAACCAAGCCATTATGGATTGTAAAGTAGAGCTCTCAAAATGTTTATGCCATGACAATGTTTGTGAAAATACTATTCCCAAATATTTATATGAAGAAACACAATCAATTAATTTACCTCCTTAATACCATCTTTCTTGCTTGCTAAGGATGCTACCATTTCTAAACACAACAATTTTGGAATGATCAAAGTTGACATGTAGTTTATATTACTTGCAATGCTGCTCAAGATCATTAATACGTAGAAGGAGATACAACTGAGTTACTTCTGGCTGTAACTGTATGACAGGGTAACACAACAGTTCTATATTATCAGCTAAATCGTTTATGAAAATGGAAAACAAGAAGGGACTCAAGACAGCCTTGATGAACTCCAATATTACAATCAAACAACCGTGAAAAAGAATTATTGACTTTAACACAAGATTTAACACAACTATAGATGGATTTGATACAACATAAGATCTTGGGTGTCAATCCTTTCTATTGCAAAACTAACCATGATTTCGACCTTTTACCAAATCAAATGCTTTCGAGAAGTCAACGAAGAAAGCATACAATTTACCCTTTTTCGATAGAATTCTTTACATACCAGTACTGGCCTACATCCTGTATGAATTTACCTTGTGTACACTCTTTTGTGTTGTCCTGATAGTCATCACATAATTACCAAGCACATTTTCACCCCCTCACTTGGCATAATTTACAACTTTTTGTTTAGGGTTTCCCAATATTCAAATACTGTTGCAGAGAATTCTAAGGTTGCAACTAATCGCTTCGCTAAGTTAATTTGTTGCTTTGTTTTCAAAGTATTTATTGACATGTACAAAATCACATCCACAGCACATGCTTACAGTCTTAAATTTGTTTGGATGAAACAGTATGTTGTCATTTTGGTTGAGAATAAGATAGCTTGGATGATGTGATTATTTGAGATTTGTGCATTTAGTCTCTTAAGTATTGTAAAATTTCTTATGTTTTATCATTGTTGTGAGTGTTACTGTGTTTGCAGGAAGATATACTATAATATGTGTGGGGACTTTTTCATTTTCAGGCACACCTGATAGTGGTAAAGGATCTAGGAAACGAAACCGAGGGAAAGAGTAAGTATTTCATTCAGCATTAGATCCATTTAATGGAAACATTGCAGCAAGAATATAATATAAATAGCACAGTGTTTTTGATGGAAAGAAATTCCAGCAATATTGTCTCAGTAATGAAGCACTGAGACAAATAGATTTTTGTGTTGGTAATTAATTCTTCACTGATTGTGGACACAATATGCCAGGCCTGGGAGTTGATCACTTACAAGTTTCATGACATATAGATGAGGGAGATGGATTGTACTGCTTGTTATTTTGCAGAATGTGACATGCAAACAACTTTCTGTCATGGTATACTTCGGATCGGGTGGTCAGGCTCGCTGACTTGGTTGACACATGTCATCGGTTCCCAATTGCGCAGATCTATGCTCATGCTGTTAATCACTGGATTGTCTGGTCCAGACTCTATTATTTACAGACCACCGCCATATAGCTGGAATATTGCTGAGTGCGGCGTAAAACTAAACTCACTCACTCATGATTTACTTGCCATATGTGTGTCTAAAGAGAAACAGATTTCATTCAAAATACATGATCTTTGTTAAAGCGAATTCAGACCCTTACAGAAAAAAATTGTGAAAAAAACCCCCTAAGAAATGGCCCACATCCATCTTGATCATTTCAACCAGTTTTTCTCTCATCTCCCATTGGCTATCATACAGAAGTGATTTGTGTAATATGAATAAGTTTGTGGGAACCATTGTTTATTGTTGTGTTTACTGTTTTAGGTCTGATGATGAAGACAGCCAGGGAGGATCGTTCGGCAACAATCTGGAGCAAGCTGATAAAGAGAGGTTTGCTAGGTTTGTATCTGACAAGTGTTGTACGCTTTCTGTGCATGACTTGTAGGTGGCCTCATAGCTCTATATTACATGATAGACTAAAACAGTGTCTTCCGATACTGAAATTGTGTGTGTTTTTTTAAAACTATTCCTTATCAAATACTAATAACTAATATCAGAGATTTCTCCTGTTATTTACTAAGGCATGTTTTATGAATTATTGATAGGGTTATATGCTGGATGCATATGGATATACAGTTAAACCCATTTGTGTGGAACTCCTGAGGATCAGAGAAATAGTTTGACTTGTCCATTTCGACCATTATTCCTGTACTCCGACCAGTATCAGCAGTTTCCTGCTGTTGATGTTTTGCGCTGTATTCTGTTTTGGCCTTAATTCATGGTGGAAATTTTAACTTTCCAAATTTTTTTTTTAATACAATTTGAATTCGACCAATTTGGATCAATTTCAAATATATTTCTACTCGTGGGATTTTACATTGAATTTGTGTTTGTGATGAAAATTTGACATAATTCAGTTTGAGATATCCTTGTTGAATAGTGTGATAGCAGGAATTTGACACATCCAAGTTTTAGCCAAATGGTTCTATCTGGAAGTTATCTGAATATGTCGTTTATATGATAAGAAGTCCTGTGCATTTTACATCCTTTTTATGAAGATAAAGGCATATTTATTTGTAATGAATGTTTGGGGACAAGATTAAGGACCTGTTGACGATTATTCTGATTTTATATCAGGACTCCACATAACATTTTGAACCCTTGAGCATGTTGATTGCTTACAAGTTATCAATCACATTGGGAATTCAAAGTTTTCTTTGGTGACTAAGTATATGTTCTCCCCTTCCCTGTGTCCAGTCTATTGGGAGTTTTTACACCTACGAGTAAACCTTTTCTTAATAATTCTGTCTAAAATGTTGTGTAAGGTGACTTCTAATTTGTAACATGTGCTACCCCAAGTTTAACAAGCCACATACTCACAACAGAGATATAAATGTGTAAATTAACAAATAAACCAGATGATGTGGTCGTTAAAGAATTATTCATGTATGTGAAGCCTGCGTTTGATCCTATACTAATACAAATGAGAAAATAAAAATACATGCATCATCTTTTACATAGTGATTCTTGAGATGATGTTGAGTTGTTCATGGTTAGGCGAGAATGTTTTAGGATGATTGATATTATTGTCTATTGGATTTCCTAATTCAAGATGATAGAGAGGAACAAGTTATATGGATTGACAAGTTCTGTTTGCAATAGATGCGATGTTTCACTTTAGATGCTAACACCGTTATCAAACTAGTGATTGATAGTGGTATTAGCATCTACACTGAAACATATAGCATCTGTTGCAATAAAGAACTTGTCAATCCATAAGATTTCTCTTGCTCTTTATCATACCAGCTTCTAAATGCCACCTAAAGTAGTTAAGATGATAAAGGCTGAACACAAATGTTCTTGAGGTTACATACAAAGCAGAAAAAAGGTGTAACATTTGTATTAAATATTTTGGGGTTTTCTTTTCTTAAAAGCATTTTAGAACAGTTCTGCAGTGTTACTTTGCTGTGTATTTTGCTCTTTCCATTATTTTTGTTAAATCACTAGTTGACTTTATCTTATAGTTGAGATAAGGTTAAATGTGTATTTATTTATCTCTGATGCATCACATATCATACAATTTCTCTGGATTACCTTGGCCTGACTGATGAGAAATGGTTCTGTGTTAGATAGATGTGTTTAGGTGATGGAGCAGGCATGTGCCACCTAACCCTGACGCATGATCCTCCCTGACTGTCAGAGTACACTGTCCCTAACAATGCTTTCCATGGGTAGATGTAGATAGGCTGTTGCACAATGAAAACAACAGACCTTTGTAGTCATTTTGTGCTGTCGAGATATAAACGAAAATGCTGTCTTACCATCAGATGAGTGAAGACGTAGATCAGGTTGACATATTGTATATCTGTATCATGTTCAAAATCGTTCGAACCACTCTTTGTTCTCTTGTGGTCAATAACGGGTGATGCTGTGATTTTCACAGGCAAAAACATGTTGAATTGCTAATAAGCAATCTTCAGAGAGTTGAAGTTATGTAATGAATGAAGAGTGTGTGTTTCTAATATTGATTAATAGGAGCATATAAATACAGTATGAGAAGTATGTCAATTTCTTCTTTAAGTTGATCTTTAGTAAAACACCTGAAAACATTACCTGACTGATTGATATGACTTGTGCATGTGTTTTTGGAATCAAGAATTACAGTACATTTTTTCTGAAAATTGAAGTTAAAGCATTTTTCTTTATTTTCGACAGTACTGTAGTATTTCTGGTCCAAATGCATCCCAGTTTGAACATCCTTTGCTAATTAGGTCCCATATATTACTTATGGTCATTATGGACAAGTTTGGTGGAGCTTGGTCGTAACCAAGGTGACTGTAGTATTTTGTATCATGCACCGTTATGCTGTACATATAACACTGCTTGAACTGTATCAAGGTAAAAATGTCAAGAAATAGTCAAGCTGCCCATGAAATTAAGGAAATTAAGGATACAAAATCTTACAAATTGAATAAGAGCAAATTAAGAAAACAAATGAAAGAAAAACAAACAGAGAAACTGCACTGAAGTCAGCTTATTGTTGACGTTATGCTAGAAGCCTGTGATTTCATATTGTACTATTCAGTGCAGTGTGATATTGTATCACTTCCACTGACCAATGAGTGTTGGCAGTCATTGAAAAGTAGATGAACAAATATAAAAAACACCTCAAGCTCTTTTACCTTATGTGTAATACATTTTCTTTCTTTCAAAAAGCATGTTCAAACAATTTACTGACATAAAAGCTGTTACTTTCTGTTTAATGCTTCAACTAAACATTGAGTAACAATTGTTCAACTGATTTATTTTATGTTGAAGATGATGGTTATAGAGATATTTGTGTGTGTAAACCTGACTGAATGTTCGCATTGTAGCAGGGTAGACACCATTGTTCATAGCGAGCTAGTCCACAGCTCATTTCAGATTAATGTACAGTAAGTAGATTTCTCTAGCCTGGGACTAACAATTTGTGGATATGTCTATCCCTGCCTAGTTTGTATGATGTCCAGGCATGTTCCCTTCAGCATGGTACGCGGAACAGACCTGTGCAGTACACAGTATGCATGGGGGCATGTTGGGAGGATGCATGGGTTACAAGTAGTGTAGTATCCAGTTGATCACAATTAACACATGTATAGAAATGTAGATTTTTGTCCTCATATGGACATGGTCAAAGGAACTGAATCAGCTGTTTAAGATTTAATTGTTAGGATATTATGTGGACGTCTTCAGACAAAAGTGATAAAACTTAAATATGTTCAAACAGCCAGAAGCATTATACTTGCTACAGCTTTTTTACTTATCACTGATACATCTTGAGAAAATCCGACAGATTTAGAGGATAAAGGATTGTGTATTTTGATAGGACAGGAAGTGAACTCTTAAGTTCACTATGTTCATATTATTGTTCAGTAAGATGGTAGTTTTGTTGAGGATGTTATATCACACTGTAAGCAGGCCACGTTGGAAATGTAAGTATCCAGTGAATGATGTTGATACACTTAAAGAACATAGACAAGTAAATATGACTTACTGCATGACTGGACAATGACTCCTGTCCATCAAATATGTGCAACCAATACTTTGATCCTTATGTCAAATATATCCTGATATTCATCACAGAAGGACAGAAAACCTTCATGGCCATAAGGAGAGTTTATCAATGTTTATGTAGATTTTAGGTGTAGTCATTTTACATGTCACTTGTGCTTACATTTCTGACGTTGAATGCTTGCCTGAACTAACAAGCTGACCGCTACATTTGTGAATAATGTGCGTAGTACGCTACTTGCCAGAGAGAGTCACTGTGAGATCGAGCGGCGGCGGAGGAACAAGATGACAGCATATATCAACGAATTATGTGACATGGTGCCTACCTGCAGCACCCTGGCCCGAAAACCAGACAAGCTGACCATTCTTAGAATGGCAGTCTCTCACATGAAGACACTTCGAGGTAATTCTAAAGGGCTGGAATTTCGTTGTACACGGTAAAATTGATTCAAAGTGTTTAACATTGGGTGAACATGGCTGATCTTCCAAAATAAAGATGCATTTGTTTTATGTTTATTAAATTATAAATGTTACTGTCAGTTTGCAATAAAACATAATCCTGCACCTAATGTCTAACATGAAAGTTTGAAGAGCATATTGTCAGACTTGACGAGGGAGATAATCGGAGAGAAATGTTTCCAGGCACTGGCAACACTAACACAGATGGATCGTACAAGCCATCATTCTTGACAGACCAGGAGTTAAAACATCTAATTCTTGAGGTGAGCTATTTAAGGTACATGTGATTTTAATCCTGCTGCTTGCTTTTCAGGTGAAACACTATCAGTTTATGATTCATAAATATAGTTGGTTGGTTGTATATTGTTGTACCATGGAACTCCATCCGTCCAAAGACTTTGTTGTCCAACCAATAGCTTAAAACTTTTGGTGGGATTGTTTTCAAATTTGGCGATCACCTGTGTCTACAGGGAAAGTCCCACAGATTTGGGTACTGGCTTCTTTGTGTATATGAAAGGCACATTGTAAATGTTAATAAAGATCTTGTATTTTTGTCAAGAATATCCATTTTCAGTTGTTGTTCAGCTGAAGGTGGGAGTCACAGTTGGGGTTACTCATATTTTTTGGCTCGTCTATTATATTTTGGAGACATATTCCATGAATTGTTACAGATTATCACAATGTGCTGATATGTTTTCAGGCTGCAGATGGGTTCTTGTTTGTTGTGCAGTGTGATACAGGGCGTATTATCTATGTGTCCGACTCTATAACGCCTGTCCTCAACCAATCACAGGTAAGACATAGGTCACTACCCGGTTATTTCCTTCTTTAACACACATTAAAGATAACACTACTAACACAGTTTACTATGTTGGGGATAAGTAGACAGGCAGAAACCATGACATTGTTATATGGTTTTTATTCTTATATTCTGATGTAGTTTTTATCCTTTTACTTTTAATGCTTATATTTTTAAATAAATTCCCCCAAGCACTTGGACAAAATTAGTGAATCTTTTGAACTCTGATTTCGCGCAGTTTTTTCATCGCGTTATTTTTCAACTTTATAAGTTGAATTTGCATTTTTGATGATTTGTTTCAGTGAGTCCATACCGAAAGGTATCAGAATCTGCAAAGTTGTGTTTTGAGTTGCATGTGACCTTTAAATCTGACCCTTCACAATGACTGAAAACACTTAGTACATTTCAAATGACCATCTATTATTAACAGAATTAGAGTTATAAACTATTTTCCGCAATGTTTTTTTTTAAATAAAAAAGATTGATTTTACCCAAACCTTTTGTCTAAATCTTAAGTGTTCGTTTACGAGGACGGTATCCATTGCTGTAATATGATTGGCTGCCCTAGGTCACGTGCATGATTTTGACCAGTCACAATCTTTATAGCAGACTGTGGCGAAAAAGTGTCATTAGAAACCAATATTTATCCAATAAAATAACTTCTTACAACTGTGAAAAATACTCCTGGCAATGTTGCAGTGTATCTTTGATGTTCAGAACTTTCGAACGAATCATGCTGTGCTCCCTATAAATTTCCCATGCTCCTTGGAATTCTATTTTGCTCCAAAGAAAAAAAGGATAGAAGCGTGCATGCATGCATGCATGCCTGCGTGTCATCAAGGTTAAACGTGTGTCGAGATCAAAACCTGTCAGATTCCCATTGTTGTTTCGAGACTTGCCATTTGCATATCGACGAGGCTTTAGAGGGCACTGTAGTCATTGTTTACCACACCTACGAGAACAATCGCAAATGCCATTTCAGTGAATATTTCCAATTATTTTTTTTCTTCTAATTTCCAGAAATTTAGGGTTGGCGGGTCCGTAATCCAAGTTATGAAAAAAGGGTGGCCTAAGGGAACTTGTACAAATGTCACTCACCTCTTTTATTCATTTACTGTGGTCTATTTTATAAAGAATGCCTCAAAACAAATTGAAGAAGACCCTCAAATGGAAGGATCTGTTTCAATACCTGTTACCCACCAGCCTTGACAGATGAACTATTTTCATAGAAAAAAAATCTTGTTGTGTTCTCTAACTTCTTTTGAATAATATAATTACATAACTACATTGACACAGATTTGAAACTATTTGTGTTTCAGTCTGACTGGTTTGCAAATGTCTTGTATGACCTTGTCCACCCTGATGATGTGGACAAAGTGAGAGAGCAGCTTTCTACAACCGAATCTCAAAACACAGGACGGATCCTAGATCTCAAAAGTAATCACTATATAGATTATTTGTATCATCATTCCTAATAAAGTCCCTATTCCACAAGGTGATCCCAATTGTAGCTCTGAAACATGGTCATACAACATTCATGGCTCTAAGATCAAATGTGATCCATTGTAAATTTTTTATATATACTCCCCATCAAAAGTTTAGACTCACTAGTGTAAATGTAGCCACTTAAGTCAACTCTTCTAAACCAGATTTTGGTAAATTTTCCATACTGTTTAAAGGTACTGTTTACACATGAACTGGTGGATTGTAAAACAAATTTGTAACGTTGAAAAGATTATTGTAATGGGTTGAACAAATGATGAAACTAGGTGAAAATTGGCAAATTTTTAACAAAATTTTACACCACAGCACAGCTGTTCACATGCATGATATTTGCACATGCTTTTTAGCAATTTAATGCATGATCCTCATGCAATTCATCTGCATAAAGTTTGCAGTTGGTTCCCTGAAGTTAGTGGAGAAATTCATCTTCGATGTAGCCACACATATATGCATAAGATATAGTGAATGCTTTAAGTGAGTCCAAACTTTTGATGGGTAGTATATAAATATTGTTTTTTCAAATGGTAGCCGATTTTCAATGACCTTAGTAGTTTTATTTATATAAAATATTTTATTCATGTTGACATTGAATATGTTTGTCAGGTATTTATATAGAGTGTTTTTCATTTTCAGCTGGTACTGTGAAGAAGGAAGGTCACCAATGTAAGTTTTCAGAAGTCAAGTGAATAATTCTTTTCAGACTTGATGCCAATTATAGTTCAAGATTTAATCTTTCTCCTTTTAGCTCCTCATATGGAATGTTGTAGATAAGGAGTAAAATTTGCGCATTGAAACTATTTTTTGATTGTATAGATTGTGAGCAAACCCACCATCATTGTTTTTAGCCTCAATCCGCCTTTGTATGGGATCTCGTCGTGGTTTCATCTGTCGTATGAAAATGGGCAATGTACAAGTAGACCCAATGACAGCTAATCACACAGTTCGGATACGACAGAGAAACACTCTAGGACCTTCCCATGACGGCAATCACTACTCTGTTGTTCATGTCACTGGGTACATCAAGAACTGGCCGCCTTCAAGTAAGTCTTTTGTATAGATAATGAAGGGCTGCATGCTTCAAAGGAAACAACTGATTATCAAGCACCTGGAGGAAAGTCCCATAAAGGCAAATAATTGGAAATATAAGAAGTGTTTTGTATTAAAGAACAGGTTGAATGTTTAACATATTCCTGCAGTTTGATGATACATATCTACACATTACATTTGATTTGGTACATCTGCAGAGTACTCTTTATATTGCATTATAATATCTACATGATCTCTCTCTTGTGATAAAGTAGACGTAACTATGAACCTTAACTCTTGACAACTTTGAATTACTTGCAGCCCTTGCTGAATGTTTGGAAGTCATCTCTCATGTGCTAATAACCTGTTGCAATAATTACATTAGAACTGCTGGTTACAGGTGTACAGATAGATCGTTCTGACGGTGATGAGCATGGCGGAAGTCATTGTTGTCTTGTAGCCATTGGTCGGCTCCAGGTGACTAGTACACCAAACTGCAGCGACATGCTTCGGACCAAATGCTTCCTCAGAATTCATATCACGACATAGTGTAGATGGGAAGTTCACTTTTGTGGACCAAAGGTAAGGACAAATTGGACACCAGGATGGTTATTTGTTATTCTGACATGTTATTTATTAATATTTTTGCTCATTTTTATAAAAGTGAAGTCATGTATCATATGTTATTGACATTTTTTCTGCAAAATAGTAGTTTGTCGCAGTTTTGACCTTTTCTTTCATGCTTGCACCTAAGCTTGCCTCAAATTCTCAAAATTTATTCTGGTCTCCGTAAACAAATTCTCTTCAGTATTTTCTGCACCAATAAAGCTGAAAAGTCACATCTTGTTCCTATCAGAATTTGTTTAAGAGGTTTTCATCCTATAACCAGGCGGTGGGGTAGCCTAGTGGTTTAGGGGTTCGCTGGTCTTGCCGAAGTCCTGTGTTTGATTCCCCACGTGGAAACAATGTGTGGAGCCCATTTCTGGTGTGACAGGCCGTGATATTGCAAACAATTGCTAAAAGCAGCGTAAAACCACTCATCCTATAATCGTTGGCAGATGTGACATTACTTTTGAAAACCCAATTTAAGGCAATTATTTGGCCATATTATCTGTTTCATAGGTAGTTTGGCACAACACAATACATTATGGATTTGTAATATATTAGATTTTAAAATGGCAACAAACACTTCAACACAACAGTGTTTGACTGTACTGAACGTATTTTCAATTTTCAGAGTAACAGCTGTCTTGGGTTATCAGCCCCAAGAGCTGCTGGGAAAGTCTGCCTTCGATTTCTACCATCCTGAGGATCAAGCTCACATGAAGGACACGTTTGATCAAGGTAATTTATCATAATAATGCCCTAGTTTTCTCTGTGTTGAGAAATGTTTAATTTAAGTCAGCTGGAAGAGATTAATGTTTGATAAAGGACCGTTGTATGGGAAAACGTTTGCTTTCCCCCAAATATTGACTTAAAACCTCTAATTCTGGGATATTTATCAGCTTGGAACATGTGTTAAGGGCAAGTAAACTGAAGATTGCAACTTTTAAGATTTTAATTATTTTAGTGCATACATAATCACAAATACTACACCAATATTTAGTTGAACGAAAATAGCATTGAAAAGACAAAAGATGATGGACAAAAACATTGCCCAAACTAAAACTTTCCCTGCTGGGAGGGGAATTATTCTCAATGTCACGATTCAGGGTCGTTTTTCACACATGCAACAATGTATGCAATGTTGCTATTTTTTGTAGGAATAACATAAAGAGCAGAAACAGTAAATGTATAGCACCTATTCATCACAAGATCTATGTCGTAACATGTTTACCAGTCAGCCTATGAAAACTTTAGTCATGTACAGCCGTGCTTGTAGCTTTAGGCCGTGCAGCCTGAAGTAGGTTTGTTTTGGCAGCTGATTACCGAATGTGGGAATCCAGCACTCTCAGTTGGACATTTAAATACTTTCCAACTATGTCTCAAATCGATTCGATATATCTTTGAAAATTGACACTCACAAAGAAATCAAACAATTTTCTTTGTTTCTTATCTTAAACTCTGAATTTGTTTGTTATCCCATCTGTTTGGCATTGTATGGTGTTTCACTAGTGACTGTTTAGGAACTGACCTGGATCTGCAAGTCTAAGTCTCCATAAATGAATTTGGAGTTGAGTATCAGGGCACTTGTGAAAGCATGCTTATTTTTCTCTCTGTGGACTGCATGCTACTATGTTGTTGTGTCATTCTTCCAGTCCTGAAGTTGAAAGGGCAGGTGATGTCGATCATGTACAGATTCCGAGCCTCAAACCGAGACTGGGTGTGGCTCCGCACCAGTAGCTTCAGCTTCCAGAACCCCTACACTGACGAAGTCGAGTACATTGTCTGCACAAACTCATCAGCGAAGTGAGTAACAGCACATGTTCATAGTCGGAAGAATAGGATTTCCTGGATTGTTGCTCTAGTTTTCAGTCATGCATTACCTGGTCCAGAATCAAGAGTTTTGACGCCTCCATGAAAGCATGGAGAAATATTCAATTTTTAAACTTATCCTATCTCACGACTTGCACCTCTCTCTCTTGCTTCGACTTTTAGTGGAACGACTGTAAACTTTTTTCCATAGGCCTCCTTGTCCATTCGCCCGTGCACTCCATGCTGCTCTCCTTAATTAGCTTCCTAGTTCCTAATAAAGCTTGCAGCATGCTCCACTAATTGCCCACGTGACTACCTTGAATGATCATTCTCTTTCTTGTCGCACGACTGTGTGGACGTGCTGTATATTAGGGACATTATTCAACCCTAACATCATGGGGAAAACTGATAATCAGTCAAGGAAAAGGAAAGTTTGTGCTTAATGCAAGACAAATTATTCGTCCCTCGACCCTCACTCGTCTTGCAGTGACTGTATTGGACAATGTAACTGGAACAAACGATGTGGCAAGTGTAATTCACTAAAAGATGAGGATTTTAAGGCCTACCTTCGTATTTGCTCCTGGACAATCGCCGATAGGGACAGGAAATCAACAGAAACTGATCCATCTCCCGCCAAGCGTATCAAGTTACAGCGACAGAAAATCATACCTTCACGCAAGAGAGCGACGTCTGTGGTTCAAGAGGATTTTATGGACGCTTCATCAGATTCTTACTTATCTGAGGACGTTCGGCACCTATTATGTATTTATCAATCACCTCCTTCCATAGCGTCAGATCACTCGCGGGTGGTTGTGATCGACAAATCTTCGTTGCCTGTCCAATCTACACTACCAGGGGACCTTAGATCGACACTATCATCATCCAGATCATCGGTACATATCCCCTCGACTGTCTCAGTTTGTTTGGAGCCTGGCCAACCGCGTTCAACCAGCCAACTGTCTGCCCACAGTTCATTGAACTGGACGGAGCTGGCTACAACAGCGTCGCCGGGGGACCTTCATCATGAATCAACACTTCAGGTTTCGTCACCTAATTGCCGATCCAGATCGCCCCATCATTCTAGATCACCACAAGGATCTAGATCACCTTCACGATCCAGATCACCATCACAAGCCCGATCTAGATCACCGTGCCGATCAAGATCACCGGATCGATCCAGATCACTGTCACGATCCAGAGCACAACTATGATCCACATCACCAGATCAATCCAGATCACCTAACCGATCCAGATCACCAAACGGGTCCAGATCACTGGGTCTCCATTGGGATTTCATTGCAAAAAAACAACTGCCAGGGCAACCGGACTGAATGTTTACCATTCCCCCGTTGTCCACCATTCTTGGGCCCGATGATAATGAAGATTTGACACTCTCACCTGTTAGTGCTCTACATGTTTACCTTGCTGCCTCCAAGGATCGTTGACGGCTACGGAAGCGCCTCTTCATACCTTGTCGACTGCTTCAAGAACTGAGGTTTCCCGGACCACATTGGCCTTCTGGATGTGTGCCACGATCCTGCGAGCCTACACCTTTTCAAGGTTGCCTCCTCCAGCCGCTTCCAATCCTCATGAGACTCGTGCACTAGCCTCGACGATGGCCCTCCATAGCAACTGCTCCTTGACCGCTATCATGGAAGGTTGCTTCTGGCGTTCTGATACACTCTTCTCTTCACATTACCTGCGAGACCTGTCTGTCACGGATGTCCAGGGACTACACCAGTTCGGACCTCTTGTACTGGCTCAGCAGCTTACATCGGGCCCAACAACGCACATGAGGGACGGTTCTGCATTCACGTTACTACTTCCTTGTATAGACTGAATAAAAGTTGAACTGGATCTCAACCTTTTGTTCTCATTATATGGGTTTAAGAACTACTTCACTTGGCCTCCATACCAAGGCATCGGAATACGGCCACCTAGCGTGGCCCTACAGACCTGAGGCACAATCAGTATGACGATGCAGAGGTGTTCGACATTCATGCTTACTGACCTCTACTCCACGGAGCAATTACGTCAGTGAAGTGTGACACTCCCCCGAAATCCAGTGGATTTCGTTGCGTTCTGCCTCCAAAGTTGCCGGGCACATCCTTTGACTAAGCTTAGGCAAAGGAGTGAGGGTCAATTTGATGCTGCCCGGAACTGAACGTTAAACCTTGGAGATGCCGAGTCGTGTTTCTCTTTCACCCGATAATAATTTCACTCTTGAAGCAGGGGCTGGCCCGATTCTAGTCGCAAGACTTTAATTACGGGGGTACCTTGTAAATCGTGTCGAGGCGAGGCTTACTTGCCAAGTTGCGTCCCTTGTACAAGGTTGCGTCTGAACACCACATCGCTCGGGAGCACCCATCTCCCTGGGAGTTGTTGTGCTTAGTAAGCCAAGGGGTTCTGGAGAACCCACTACAAGCATAGGAGTTGTGTGCATGCGTAACAGGCCTCCCTTGTACATCGCTATCTACGGTTGTCATCAGTCCACACAGCTCCAAGACCAGCTGTTCACACTGTCCAGACAGAAGGGTAATCTGAGGCCCGCTGTCCAACTATGGGATAAGTGCAAGTCGTGAGATAGGATAAGTTAAAAATTTGGAAAATTTAATATAAATTGTATATTTATATACTTATCCTATCTCACGCGATGGATGCCCGCCCGGCCTCCCCACTACTCAGATTACAACGTTGGCTCCAAGATGAGAATGATCATTCAAGGTAGTCACGTGGGCAATTAGTGGAGCATGCTGCAAGCTTTATTAGGAACTAGGAAGCTAATTAAGGAGAGCAGCATGGAGTGCACGGGCGAATGGACAAGGAGGCCTATGGAAAAAAGTTTACAGTCGTTCCACTAAAAGTTGAAGCAAGAGAGAGAGGTGCAAGTCGTGAGATAGGATAAGTATATAAATATACAATTTATATTAAAATTTCCAATTCTTCAAATGCACTGCATACACACCGATATCCTAAACATAAGATATTTGTCCTGATGTTAATATTAGATTGTTAATTCACTTGATTCATCCATGTCACTGATGGAAAAATAATGCAGTATGGTGTTTAATGGACAGATAACTTCATTATTGCCCTCTCAATGACAAAGAAGCCATTGTTTACATCCTCATAGGAAGCATCTCTGTCAGATTATGACTGCATCGACTGTTGACCTTCCTTTGCCATGAGTGTTAAAGTTATAGGTTGGAAGTTAGTATCTTCTTCACTTGTCTGTCAGAGTTGCACCAAACAGCTGATGATCAAATCATTCTATCTCTATAGGAGTGTCCAGCAAGGTCCCTCTGCTGCAATTCCGAACCCCGGTGACCAGTCTGCCGAACCTACTCCAACCATCAACACATATCCTGCCAACCGTACCATGCCCACAGACATCAGGAAGGATTACGCTGAAGCACCGTCTTATCCCTCCGACACCAGCCGTTTTATTGCCCCTGATGTGTACTCCCAATATCAGCAGCCCACAATTAGGTACCCCAGTCATTCTTCCAGCATGGGTCTGTCCCAGACCTCCACAGTGCCTTCTGTAGGACCTGGGGTCATGAGGAGGAGCCCCGCCCAACCATCTGGCTGGTCAGGCGCATATTCCAGAGAGGTGAGTTTTATCTACAGTCCGTTTGAGTCAGAAACGGACCGATGAATTGCAAATTTTATCATTGTACGAAATTGCCACATAATATAAATAGTACTCATGTTTATCATTTACTAATACCCAACAGCTTTCTTATATTTGAAAATTTGTCGGACTCCACCAAAAAAGTTCTTTAAGAAACTATCATTAAAATTTTGACACAGTTCACTATTTGTTACGAGGGAGGAGTGCAGAGAAAGGGACAGCCAGGTGTTAGAGAAGCACGTGCACAAGTGCCCACCAAGTTATTGATTCATTAGCCTGTGCTGTGCCGTCTCCATCCTTTCTCGCACACCTGGCTGTCCCTTTCTCTGCACTCCTCCCTCGTAACAAATAGTGAACTGTATCAAAATTTTAATGATAGTTTCTTAAAGAACTTTTTTGATGGAGTCCGGAAAATTTTCAAATATAAGAAAGCTGTTGGGTATTAGTAAATGATAAACATGTGTACTATTTATATTTATGTGGCAATTTTGTACAATGATAAAATTTTCAACGGTCCGTTTCTGACTCAAACGGACTGTAGTCTTGGCTTCCAGACCCAGAAACAAATACATCCTTGCATAGTTGCAAGTCAATAGTAGAAACTGCATTTTGTCTGAACATAAAGAGTTCACTCTGAGCGCAACAGGGTATACAAGAGGGGATAACGAGAGTTGATTTTTGAGGCTTCCTGGGTCTGCTTATCTGCATTGAAGCTGACCTAATAGTGACCTAGGAACATTATGCTGTTGATTCCACTGGTGATGACGACAATATATAACTGAGTTATCTCCCAGCAGAATAAAGATTAGGGGGATTTACAACTCATGTTTTGTTATTGATCATAGTTCAATAGATACCTTTACGACATATGAAATACATGTGTACCAACTGATACCAGTTGCACTTGTGTTATTTTGGCATGTTAAGTAAGACATTTTGATATATTTGGGTTTTTACAAGATAATGTGACTGATCATTACATTAGCTCACATGAACTTGTAATAGTGTAATATTTCTCTTCATCATATAAAACTGTGGCTTTGTAAATGTGCAGAGTGGACCGGACTTCATTGGGGCTGGAGCAGGTGCCCCCCAGGGCTATAGTCAGATCAGCCCCAACACCAACTCCCCAGGTAAGGCAGTCCGGCCTGTCTGTGCATGCTCTCCCAACCTCTGTATATCTCATTTAGACATTCAGCCCCAGTATGTCATCCTTAGTGCATTGTGCCATTTGTGTAGTCAGTATCTAGCCTATACTTGTACTCCTCTCTTGTACTTGTGTAGTCAGTATCTAGCCTATACTTGTACTCCTCTCTTGTACTTGTGTAGTCAGTATCTAGCCTATACTTGTACTCCTCTCTTGTACTTGTTCTTATACTGTTCTCTCAATTCATCACCAAAGTCAAAACTCTTTAAGGGCGCATACTTATGCCGCAGTAGGTGGCTTTAACCAGTAGTCTACAGCCAGTGTCTAGAAAGACAGTAAGTAATGCAAATAGAAGTTCAACATTAAGTCCTGGATATGCAGAATAGAAACAGGTTCTGGCATGTACACTTAAAAGCTTTTGCCCCAAACTGTAAAGCCACACCAGTGTTATAGGAAATGGTCATTTAATTCACCAACTGTGTTGTGCTGCAAGATGATCTATGAGATGTCTAACCTTCAGGCCTCAGCCATGACTCTCTTCACACATGTGGGGAGTGAGCATGTCTTCCAACACTTACCACCTGTAGCCACAATTCAGTGTGCACTGTTGCATGCTGGGATTGTAAGCCATGATATACAATGATTATGATCCTTGCTTTGTTAGAACATAGGTTCCACAAGAACACCCCAATGGTAATGTCTTCACAAATGATTTTTCAGAAAACAGTGCACATTAAACATTGAACAGTTTTAAAGATGAATTAACTTTCTCTTAAAGCATGTTATGCAGTTCGAGGTATTATGAAAATTATGTAAAACTACTTATGATTGGACAGTTCATGTTGCGATAACCAATCACAACACATGTACTTTCAGTTTACCTAAACTCAGTGCAATGCCTCTTAGTGCTGTGTAGTTCATTGCGATGCCTACAAACAGTAAAGTATTCAGAAACCTGATTTGTTTAGTGTTCTATTGTTGAGAACTGGACAGGCAAGTTTGCATCCAGACTGGTTAACAGTCCAGCTGTCTAGCTTGGAATTCGGGGAGTTTTAACTGCTGTTCATGTTATATGTGGTTCCATGCAATCTGTTGTTTGTGATGTACATGTATATTGTGACTTGTCTCTGTTTGGAACATCTAGTTTTTCAGACCTGTGGGATGGCATTAACTATGATGGGTACACCTTAAACTTCACTTCAAAAAGTGTTGATAAGAACTATTGACAATACAGCGAAGTGCAAGAATCATTACCAAATTTGCAATGACAGTAGTAGATGGAACAGCTCATGTACAGGTTGTCAGTCATTATTTAACTATATTCACTGGTAATTGTATGGAATTGAATATACTTGTGCATGTCAGTGTGCATGTGTTGTAGAACAGTTTCTAGAGAACGCATGCTGCAGTATTATGCTGGCAGCTTTATGAAGCATATAAAGGAAATTGTTATCAGAGCATGGTAGTGTATTTACTTCTGTCAAATATTGAGTCAGTGCATTGCTTTCAGATATCTGCATGAACATTTCTTTGTGTATCAGTAATTAAGCTATCTGTCTGAAATTGGAAAATATTTCTCTTTGTTGTAACATGTTCAGTACAGTGAAAATTCTCTCTTCTTTCTATGAAATACCAGTTATTTGTGTTAAATGTCATGAACTTAATTGTTCTGTAATATTTTCTATGATTGTTTTTTTCATCAGCAGTAACATACAGTTAAGCATACAGAATGCAAAGACTGAATTTGCTTGTTTGGAAGATCTTACCAAAATAAAGTTGAGACTTCTAGTGATATGAAGGAAATATGAAGAAAGCCCATTTGTTGTGTGATCATAGTATGCTGATACGTTGTGTTCAGACTCACTTACCAATAAGTCAAAAGGTACTTTTAAAAACTTTATGGCAATGAGTGTGTATGTAATGTTGCACTTCCACCAGTATTGAGCTATTGCATCTATCGCTGTAGTGGGTCCCAGCACCGGTAGTGCCATCCCAGCAGGTGCCCCCTCCTGTCAACACCTCGCTTATCGGTCCTCCTCCACAGGAAACCCCACTCTCTGGGGACAGTGGCAGCAGGGGACGTCCGGTGATGTGGCAGCGGCAGCGCAGGCAGCAGCAGTGCAACAGCAGGCTCAGCAACAGGCACAGCAGCAGTCGCAGCAGCAGGCGCAGCAACATCAAGGACAGGAGGAGTTCAGTGACGTGTTCAGAATGCTGGATCAACCTGCCTCAGAATTCAACGACTTGGGAATGTTTCCTAACTTTACAGAATGAATGCAAGGGATTGGGGGGATTTCTAAGGAATGTATGAACAAAGTCTGAAGCCTGATGGTTGACACATGGGTACCAGTGAAGTGGAAGACAGTATTCATTGAGAGTATTGAATGGAGTGCTAACATCCATGTGGATGAAATTGGGAAATAGAGAACATTTCAAAGTTGGTCACATGGTAACTAACAGTAATGATTAGCTTCAATCTGGTTAACACAGGTCAGCGATTCTATGGTGATATATTAAAGTAATTTATTTATGAAATGAAGATTGATGGTGATAGGTTATGATGGTGATATGGCATTAGCATGATTGGTTCATCTATTGTATTATTGTTTATTACACCATGTTAAAGATGATGTTGTTGTACGGTACAGTGAAATGCCATGAAATTGTGTAGCCCTTCACTGATCAGAGACTTTGATTGGAAAAAGATTGTCATATCAACAAGTGCTGAAATGGCTTCTTTGTCACATTAAGATAGGGATATATTAAATTTCAAATGTTTAATTGTGATGTCTCTATCATTTGAAATAAGTAGGTAATTGAGAACCTATAATAATAAAATGTCATGAAATAGTTTTTGTTTAATTTTTTGGAAATTGTTACTTCAGGTTATCATTATTTTGATGGTGTATTTACTTTTAATTGTTTGCATATTGATGGTTATGAAAACATCATATTCATTTTTTGTGCTATTTTTGGAAATGTTTTCCCACAGTGGTTTGTCATTTGAGAGAAATGCAAAGGAATATTTGTTGATTGTTCGTTACAGGTCTTTTACAAACCCATACAAACCAGTTTTATTGAGTCAGAAAGTAACTTCTTACTTTTATATGACATTGAAGGACCGTGAGTTTTGAGGATATGCTTTTGATATGATTTGAAGAATGGAACTGCATAATTCCTTATCCCATAATGCCAGATGGTGGTCCTGTCATTATATCCTGTTGGTGAGTCACAGTGGACTGGCATGTGATGGCCAGCAATGTAAACAGTCGTTTGTCATCTTCAGTCACAAACATGGTAAGCATGTAGTCCAAGTCAGTGTTGTTTAACTCTGTTGAACTATTTATCCCACCTATCTTTCGTGTTATACCTTTTATTTCTCCAGTGAGAGAAACGTCTATGTCAGTATTCAATATTTCATTTAAAAACATGATGTTTTATCAATTTTACATATGTATTTGATATGGTTTGTTTCACAGACACTTCCCTACAAGGAACTATTTGTGTTGTTAAGACAAATGTTAATGATATTGAAAGAAAAGTGATGTGTTTCTGTGCAACTTGGCGTTAGGTCCATTATTGCCCCTGCATATAGCTAGGTTATAGAGGCTATCTGACAAGTTCAAGCAAGACCCGAACATCTCTTATAGCCAAGATTTAACCAGAGACAAATGGTCAATAGATGGACAATCCTTCTGAGATGGGTAACAATTTCTTGATAATTCATTTGGTTGGAAAGAGTTGTTTCTGATTATTTAAATTATTATCATTATTATTGTTTTTCTTTGCATGTACAATGTGGAATAATACTTGTAGCATATAGATTTGTATTCTGAAAACTTTATGGCAACATTGTAGGCAAATCTAATGTGATTTTGTAAGAAAGCTTTAATAAATTGTACCACAACAATTCTATGGATGAAACATGTAGACAGTGTCTATAGTATTTTATATCATCTATTGCAGTTGGAGTATATTTTTGTACTTGTTTCCATTTGGATTAGAAATGTTTTAAAGTGCATTTACCCTCATTTATCACCATTTATAGAAGCCAGTAGTGCAAGCTTGGACTTAGACAAGGAAGTTTGTTTGAATTGTTGTTGTTGCACATGATATCATATGGGTTAATATGTGCCATTTATATATATTTTATGCAATTTAGATATATATGCTATTGATATTTTGAACATTATACTTTGCATTACATACAAACTACATTATATCACAATCTGTCATGTTTGGCTTTTTTTCGTTCACTCTTTGTTTCATCGCTGTGTTGATTCTATTCTTATACAAATATTGTTTAATGGACTATGCAGCATGGCTGCTACAAGTACCAGTTTATATTTGAGGAGCTTTGACTTGCATGCGTCCTGTTTTTGGGGTATGAAAGATAAAGTTACCTCCATTGTCTGTAAATGCCAGAAATTGTAGAAGGTAATTTGAGTTGTCTCCAGATCCTCCCTTATTTGAAGTGCATGTAGAATGTCTAGCTGTAGTTTTATGGCAAGGACTTGTCTCATGGCTGCTGTTCAGAGCACAAAACAAATCAAAACACTGTGGTGGCTATAGAGGAGGATTTGACATGATTTCATGTGATGTTAACAAGTTGTACAAATACTGCACTTTATATATCCTGCAAGAATGGGTAGTGTAGTGATTTAAGTGTGTGGAATTTGTGATGAGAGATGTGTAATAAGGATGTGTTAGATAAGCTGAAATGTTGGCTATCTCTTCAAAGCACATGGTAACTGGTAAATAATACTAGATGCCTTCCCTAGATAATATGGCACAATAAGTATGACAACCTGTCACATGTTATGTTAACATTATAATAATAATAATGAGAATGAGAATATTTATGACGCACCTTTTCCAGGCTAGATATCCTGCTCAAAGCGCACAATCTGATCATTATTACCCCGGATAACCCAAGCTGCCTGTTAGGCGCTAGAAGGTTGATAGTATCACGACTTATTTCACTGGGTACCCACTTTCTGCTGGGTGAACAGAGGCAAAAACAAACTCACTTGTGCCTAAGGTGAGACCACATGCATCACATGTGCTTTGTTGTGGGGCAGGACTGAAGTCCTAGAAACTCACAGGAGTCAAGCTGTCATACACAGTCACCCATCCAAGGACTGTCTGCGCCCAACGTTGCTTAACTTCAGCTGATTGTCACCTGAGCTGTATGCACAGGGCCACACGCCACCAGCAACATTACCATGACCAACATGGTGATTCAAGTCCATGAACAGATGGCACCAACAGAGATACACCTGCAGTGTTAGCTGCCCATCTTGGTACAGTGAAGGTGAGGTGAAATGGGGTTATGCCTCACCTTCAACATTGTAGTGTTAATATAGCAATGTGCAAGCATGTGTGTGACAGCTGGTTCTATTCCAGACTAATGCTGTATTTTAGCACTTGCCTACTGACATCCCATGCGACTGTTTAACATGGATACCTTACTATCCCACAGATTACTGACTTAAACTAACCTGTCCTTGTTTCACCCACTTGAAGACATGCACCAGGCAGGGTAACAATGAACATTTTCTAATGTGTGTTGACATGACAGTGCCATCCATGGCTGACACTCTATCCACTTCACCATGGAAGCTGTCTCACACTGAAATCCTGGGTTTGCCACCACATATTACTACCACATGTTAAGCCTAACTGTATCTCCTGCTGTGATATGGTGAGTTATCGATAAAACTGACTCACTATGGCATCTCAAGGGACCCTTGAAGATTTGATGCCAACATGTTCAGCTTGTCTAGTACTTCCATGTTACCATGTGTGTGTTGTTTTTGTTATTGGTTGTACTGGGTTGTATCCGTCTTCAGTAGCGTCTAGTCAAAATGTTGTACAGGTTGTCCTAAGTGCTCCACACCTCTGTAGCTGGTTTTAGTTATGTAAATAGAAGAAGGGTAGAGATTATACTGTTTATGGTTATTTGATGGAGTTCTATGAATTAGTGCTTATGGTATCATAATAATTTCACTATGTTGATTGGTTGATTCTCCACTACTCAGGATTTTGAACTGAGTTGAATATGAACATATCAAATGAACTGATATTACCAAACTTTAGAATATGGTTTTGTGGTTATTGATGATAAGGCAGTTGGCACATTTGACTGAGTGACAGACTAAATCTACATTGATGGAGTTGAAAATTAATTCTTTCCATTTTAGCCAAAATTTGTCCCCTTCAACACTGCATTAGTGTAAAAAATAGACCTCATCTTTTCATATACATCACAGTGTATATATTGTTTCTGTACATATGACTCATTTACACTCAGAAGTTCTATATGTGTATTGTACACAGACCAGCCAGCCCTGGAACCCCATGTCTACTAGAAGGTAACACCTGATTCTCATAGTACGCCCATAATAAATGCATGTTACTCTGGTTTTATGTCTCAAGTCTTCAGATCTCACCATGTCTTATTTTCTATAGGGCAGCATGTTCTCGAGCTGTACCTGACCCATTGAATAGCATAAATAACCACTTCCGCATTACATAACACTGCCCAACTGTGTCAGCCCAATTTTAACTGAATTTGCTAGAATTCATAAGTGATATTCATTCTTTGAAAAGGCTAATAGAAAAATCTCAGACAATTGCACATACTTATGCAGTCAAGGATAACGAGAATGACGATGCTTTCAGTTGGGAGTATGGTTTTGATTATATTGTAGCTGTAGTGTCACTGGGGAGGGGTGGGGAAATTATGTGATGAGAGAGGTTTGGTGTTACTTCTCACTGTTATCATACTGTCTTCATGTAGTCATATCGTCTCTTTCTCTTAATAAAACACTGGCTGTGGAAGAAGAAAACTTCTGTTGTTTGTATGATGAAATCATTCACCAATGTTCAACTGCTGGATGCATGTCAAGGAATCTAGAGTCATTGAAATGTCGACAGTCACCATCTTTTTACCCCCATGCCAGCCATCAGAGGCATTAAAATTCTCAATGCAAAATTGTCCCCATTTGGGAGACCAGAAACCTGTTATTGTTGATTGGAGTCCTGGCGTAACAATATCCCATACCTTTCATGACCTGCATCATTACGGGGTTTTATTCCACTTTCAATACTGTTCACACCAGTGTTAAACCAGTTCTCTCCTTGCTCCGATGAATGTTTATCTTCAATCCTGACCAGCTTTCTCACTGAATCCATGCCATCAATGTGCTGTGAATGACTTGTTTTATGAGTCATTGATTTTAAGTTTTAAAAATGGGATATCATACAACTTTTTACATTTTTCCTCATTAATGAAAACAAACCTTTCAAAGTGGAAAACACTCACGAGGCACATCACACCCAGTATTCGCAGGTTTGGTGCTAATGGACCAGCTCATGAGATGAGACAACCGAATTTGAGCTAGCACACCTCAACATGGTTATGGTTGGTGTTAAAGCTACTGCCGTAACATAATTGTCAAATTCTGAAAAAAGGGAAAATGTCTTTGTGTGTAATACTGAATTTGAAATGGCTGCCGCTCTGACCATCTTGTGGCAATTCTTGTCATTTTGGCTTACCAGCAGTTGAAACAAGAAATTACTGTTTAAAGTTTTTGATAGAGCAGTTATCACACACCAAATATATGACTTCTTTGCATGGCATTTAGGAGTTGGTGTATTGAACAACGAGGAAAATTCTATGGATGTACAACTTTAATATTAATATGAGCGACGTTTCGGTAGCTACTAACACCATTATCAAGCAAGTGATGTACAATACTGAAGGCAAGGCTATTTATACCTAGTAAAGTAGAACAGTAAGTGATTGATGTTTGCACAATTAATGAAGTTGATGTTACAAGGTTGGAGGATGTTTACACAAGCAGGCAGTTGTTACACAAACAGAATAAGCTATGGGGGGATTATTGAGAGGAAGCTAGTGATATGACAGACAGGAAAATAATGGGATTAAGAATGCTTGGTGATGAGTTGGTGATAGGCAGTGGGGATATAATATCCTTGGTCTTTGACTGGCCGGTTGGGGTCTCTTGATGTGAATGGCTTCTAGTATACACGAAGAAAAAAGTTAAGCACCCCTTGATAATTTCACAATGCCAAATGGCAAAACACATGTCAGGTCCGCAATGGCCCTAAATGCTCGGACATTCAAATGCCATCTGATTAGAAAAACCATCTGGCAAGACAAACGCAACATAGGTTAGCGGTGGTTAGAATTTATTAGCGATCACGTCATGTTATCACAGGTACTGTTTATACCCTGAAAAAAGCCCCCATAAATATGGACTGCTAGTCAATGAAAGGGTGTTGACATTGACATTGTCACATGAAACTAGTGTACGTGTTCAGTGAGACTAATCAGTACCTGGTGGACCCGCCATGTACCTGGATGACACATTCTGCTCTACGTCTCATGCCTCCAGTCAGAAGTCTGAGCTGTTCTCGGGTCAATAACAACCACTCAGCATGCAGAGCTGCCTTCAACTGATGTAGATTCTTGACTGGAGGGTTCTGTGCCTGGATTCGCTGCCCTATAATGTCCCACACATGCTCCAGAGGGTTCAGATCTGGGCTTAACGCTGGCCAGGGTAGAGTTGTCACTGCATTGGTCCTCATGTAATCCACTACGGCACGTGATCGATGAGGCCTGGCGTTATCGTCCAGGGTCTGAGGTCGTGTAGCAAGTGGATGGTTATCGAAATGAGAGACAATGACTGGCTGTAGGATGTCCTGGATGTATTGAGCTCCCGTTAAGTTGCCCCTGATGATGACCAAATCCAGCTTGCAATTGTGAGAGAGGCATCCCCACACCATGCCACATCCTCCTCCATAGGCAACAGTTGGCAGAATGTTCCTGGGGGTATAAGCTGTGTTCTTATGACTCCAAACACGTGTACGTCCTTCAGTAACATGAAGTAAGAAGCGGCTTTCGTCCGACCAATGGATTTTCCTCCAGGTCCTCAGATTCCAGTCCTCCGTGGTGTAGTGGTTAGAGCATCCACCCGGAGAGCGGAAGGTCGCGGGTTCGATCCCCGACAGCGTCATACCAAAAGATGTTAAAATATGGTACTTGTTGGTCCCTGCCTGGCGTTCGGCATTAATGGGTACAACAAGGACTGGTCGGCTCGGAGTCAGTATAATGTGTCTGAGTGGGGTATTCATGCTTCACTGCGGCATGGTATCTCAGTGGGCTAGCACTATAAAACCAGCTTAAGTCTGGGCTAGTAC